CCCCCCCCAGCAGCACACCAGATCCAAAGGTGAGCAGCTCTTGCTTGCTTGCTTCCTTGTTTGGTTTCGTCTCTGCAACGAAAACAACAGGAAAATGCAAATACAAAAAGAGAAAGGAGAACAGCTGCCAAAAGAAAGAAAGATAGATAGATAGATAAATAGATAGGTATAGACAGATAGATGGATAGGCCAAAAAGCCAAAAGCCACAAAAGCCAAAAGCCACAGAAGCCACGAAAGCCACGAAAGCCAAAAGCCACAAAAGCCAGAAGCCACAGAAGCCAAAAGCCACAAAAGCCAGAAGCCACAGAAGCCAGAAGCCAGAAGCCACGAAAAACAAAAAAAATCAAAAAAAGAAACAAAAAAAATCCAAAAATAAATACCCCTCCCTAGGAGAGTGTACCTCCCCAGGAGCTCCCTCCTAGTAGGGAGCTATTTCCACTGGTGAACCATTTTTCGAGTAGGGCTACTCAATGACTGGACGGCGACCTTATCGTTGGGTACCTACTTTCTTCCCAGGGAGCTGCCTCTAGTAGAAAGCAATCAAGCCTCTATTTGCGCAAGCAGGGGACCAGGAGATCGACAGACGAGCGCCGTAGGAGAGCAAAAGACCAGCGGACCAGGAGACAGAAGGACTAGGATACCAGGGGACCAGCGGACCACAGGACCAGAGGACCAGGAGACCGGAGGACTAGGGGACCAGTGGACTAAAGCACCAAGGGACCAGGGGACCAAAGGACCAGTGGACCAGAGGACCAAGGGACCAAAGGACCAAGGGACCACATTACCAGAGGACCCGCAGACCACAAGGCCAGGAGAGCAGCAAAAGAGGCCTATCAAGGAATATTTATTTTTTGATTCGCTTTTTATTTTTTTTTGATCCTGTTTTTATTTTTTTTTGATGCTCTTTTTATTTTTTTTGATACCTATGCCCTTTAACATGGCCACCAAGCGAGCGAACTTGTGCGTAACTCGGCCGCAACATGGCCATAGAAATACTGTCATGTGCAAAATTGTTCGACATAATGTGAATTAAGAAGTTGGAACGCACTGACGCTGCCCCAAACTGCTCTACCAAAATGCTGCGGCAAACAAGCCATCTCTTTGGACACCACTCCCGACCTCCCCTGTCCACTCCAGCAGTCTTTCCCCAGGCGACCGAAAAAAAAAGGAAGGTGTGGGCGGCGGTCGACGCGAAGCGTCAGGAATACGTTGGGCAAGAACAAAGTCCAGCTAGATTGACTCATTGACCCCGTGAAACATGACCCAGTTCGTCCAAAGCAAATGTGATCTGGGTGCCAGGCTTTGGATGGTCGACAAGCTGACAAGCAAAAGCGAGAATAGTCGACCTCAAGCTTCAATTTCAAAAAACAAAACATCGGATTTCTTGGAGAAAACCTCGAAAAGCTGCCACTTTGCATGCACAAATCCCCCCCCACCGGTAGGTAAATGGGCGTGGTTGGACTTCTGAAACTCGTGGAGAGAAGTTGAGGCACGTAGCGTTAGAAACAAATGGATGAGATGACCAAGCTATTCTGACTACGTGTTTTAAGTGAAGAGCATGAACGCAACAAAACAAACATATGCTGTATACGTTCCAATGAGGCAGTGCTGTGTGGCACCAATCCACGAGGCGGCAAGACTAGAAAGAGTCCAAACAAGTCGCATGATGTTCTTAAAGCTTCAAGATGAGTCCTCTTTGCTCACTCTATATATTGGAATCTCCAATATGTTTGCCTTTTTTGCTCAATTCTTCGCCTCATTGTGAAGGGCAGCAAAGGAGGATTGCAGCAGACCGGGTGCACAAAGCTTGCAGCTATCACCTTCACATGAAGGTGTCACATCGTGTCACATTGAAAAATAATTGCTACTAGTAACAAGTGCATCACTACTAGTAGCAAATAGCTACTAGTAGCTTCTTGTTGCTGTAGTGTCACATGGTGTCACATCGTGCCACGTCTTGTTGAGCTTTCAAAACGCGCGACATGTAAAGACGGAATCCAATCCCCTCTTGCCTCCAAATCAAACTTCCATTGCTACGCTGCTTGCATGAACTATGTTTCGTTCCTTGTAAGTTGGCCAAGGATCATAGCAAATGCATTGTACACAACAGGACAGGACGCCATCGGTACCCCTCTGCCATTGACGACTTACTCGATATGGTCACACATTGTATATGCCTCACCTTGCTAGCTTCTAACTACAGAATGTGGTAAACTTGTACGACAAGTTTGTCTAGGTCACTTTCATTCTGCTTTCTTTGCAACTTGGCACCTCCCGGCACGCAGATCAGACCGCTTTGTTCCACTGCAGTGCAGCAGGTGCAGCTGCAGGGATCGAAAGAGGGACGGCTGCTATTGCTGGCCTGGAATACAACGAATTTCCGAACGCTTCGAACAGTCCCCAGGCGAACCGTAATGGAACCTCGATCTCCAAGCCATTGGAACAATGTGTTCATTTTACTTGAGATTGGATTCAGTGTGTGTGTGTGTGCTGTCCTATTTTATATGTTATATCTCTTCTTTTAACCCAGGCATGGACACATTCTGACTGTGCAGAAATAGCACTTAAGCAGACTTAAGCACGGACAACATTCATCCAACGTGACTAGTGTATTGAAAGAGTAAAAAGTCTCCTGATGCAAAAATGTCCAACAAAGCCTGGCGTCTCAAAACAGTGGCAGCTGTCTTTGTCAGAAGCAGCAACGCCACAACGCCTGCACCATGTCAGTCTCATGGAAAAGGACGGCAACCAGATTATGCTGCTTGCATCTTCTATGAATCTCCAGGTCTCAAGATACCTGACTACAAAGGGTCTATTCTTTCATTAAAGTGGGTTGACCCAATGTCAGAAAGCATGCTTTTGAGGTTCAGCTGCCAAAATGCAACTCAGCAGTCTTGAATCACCATCCGACCTTGCTTCATTGCACCAACGGCGCCGTCGGCGACAGGCTTGCTGCAAAGCCACAAAATGCAGTCAGCAACTAAGCATAGACTCTATAGACTCTCCCACTGTCAACGTAAACTCAGTGAACCTTGAAACCACAAACTTGCAACTGCATGCAACACCACATGCAAGAGCTTCTCATAAATTTGCTACAATCAACAACGAATGTCCTTCGGTCTTCAGAAGTGTTAGTGATATGAACAAGTATCTGAAAGGCATCAAACTTGAGACCATGAGAAACTGGAGCAGGTTTCTGGTTCCATCGGAAATCAGAAACATAGCTGGAACAAGTTTCTGACTAAATCCAAACCCATCATTGTAATGTCAAGATATGTCAAGCTGCTGCAAAACTTGCCCCTTCCACTAAGGCCGGAAGGACAGAACCAAATAACTAACTGACCAACTTCCCACGATCTCCCACTCGTGACAAGTTCTGGATCTTGGAAAATGATCAGCCCGTTCAAAAAGGTCCGAGTCCTGGCTTGAACTCTCCAGTTGCTCTTATAGCTCCAATAACCCCTTTAATCTTGCAGAGTTGAAAGCAAAATGACGGAGGCAAACCAATAGGCGCAAAAAGTCTTTGACAGTTTGATACAGTGAAAACAAAAATCGTGGGGGTTTAAGGCATCACTGTATTCTTCAGTTCTGAGTGCCTCGTCCTAGTCTCATTCTTGTCAGCTTTGAAGAAACTGCACTTGTGAACTTCAGAACCAGAACCACAACAACTATAGTCCCGCTTGTACGAACTATTTTGCACTTTATACCTTGAAGGGGCCGTCAAACTTCCACACTTTGCGGTAAGGGAGTTCTAATCCTTGAGCATAAAAAACCTGTTGACTTTGACATGCACTTGAGTTCAACCTCAAAAGAGCCATGCATAAAGCACTTTTTAAGAAAGCTTGACAGGTCTTGCAGGCGTTGTTCACCATCTCCTGTCAAAGGACTTAGGCCTACCCTTGACTCACCAGGCAATGTCCTGCCAACGCAGGGGGATTGGAGACGAGGTGTACTAGAGGCAAACGCGCACAAGCTAAAGCAAGGCCAGCACAGTATATACCTATCGCCTATCACCACCTTGTCTCTAAAGAGTACCTGCATGAGGAGTTGCCCACTGCATAGCTACATTGGACATCAAAAATCCAAACCAAGGCACTCCGTGCTGCGAACATAAACCTCTCCATTTTTACTATATCTAAGGCTCATCAAATCCACAGCATTGACAGTTATGCAGGCTATGCCAATGCTCCTGCCGTGACCAAATGTTCACAAAGCGACCCGAGTCATTCATGCCGAAGGAGTGGATCCTGAGGATGGTCCACTTCAGCTCAAAAAGTTCCAGTAAAGCTCTCAAAACTAGGTCCTAGAGCAGGACTGAGTCTCCTGTGTTTTCCAACTGAGTCCACCTAGAGAAGTCCCCCGGCTCAACAGGCCAGTGTTGGATACAGGGACCAACCACAGTTTCTGCTAAGACCATGTGTGATTACTTGAGTGGACTTTGTCGGGTCATAGAAAAACATTGACAGAATGTATATATACAATATGTATTTGTATAAAAATATTTTCAGACCTGAGATCTGAGATGGGGGAACGAAAACCAGCCACCGAAAAAAGATATCAAGATGGTCATGGGGGGTGAACGCGAGATCCCTGGTGAGCTCCCACCTCTTTTCCTATCACATCCTCCCCCACTATGCTTATCCTGCACATGAACTCCCACTCCATATGGGGTGCCCTTTCGCGTCTGGTCAACAGACCTCTTCACCATAGAAAAGGTGTCTCATCCACATGAACTCCCACCCCATATGGGGTGCCCTTTTGAGTCTGGTTACTAGGCCTCTTCACCGTTAAAAAGGGCGCCCCCAAGCAATTCAAAGCTTGCCCGCTGCATTCTGTTCTCTCTCCTGCCAACGGATCGCATCATTGCATGAACTCCCACCCCATATCGGGCGCCCTTTTGCGTGTGGTTGACAGGCGTCTTCACCACGGCACCCCCCACTGCCAGCAACTCCAAGATTTCTTGCAGACCCTCTTTTCCTACCACTTCCTCCACACACACCTCCCTTTCAGTTCTGGTCGAACACTATTTCAGTCGCCATGAAAATCGATTTAGAATGCCTACTGAGCCCCTCATGATGCTAATGATGCACCCTTCGCCCTTCGCCGTTAATTACATCATCAGCATCACAACACTCCAAAAACAAGTCCCAAACTCCAACTAGTTTTCTTCGCTCTCCCTCACCAGGCTCTGGGCTCGCCCTCTTCAACTCATCCGTGTGCGACCACCCCCCCCCCACACCCCCTAATACTCACTTCGTTCGCCCAACCCAACTCCACTAGCCTATTGGCTGGCTTTCGTGAGTATTCAATAGGAGGGTGGCCTGTCGGATCAAATAAGTTCATGGCTATTAAACAGCACGAGGTGGTGAGGTTGTGAAATGAGCGGACCAACTAAAAACATGTGAGTTGTTGAGTGTTGTCGAAGGAGAGATCGATGTTTCTTGGATTTCAACGTGGAGTGACTGGCTCCCATCTCGGATCCTTCACAGTGTTCACCTCGAAGAACCCAGGAGCGTTCATTGTGGTTTGCTTTCGCAAGCATCCAGCCTACGCACTTGCGTTTTTGCTGAAGCCTCAAACTTGTTGAAGTAGCAGAACGTATGCAAAAGTTAAGGGTAAAGTAACGATACATAAAGTTTCCCTCTCGACCCAAAAAGAGAGCAGCTTCCAGGATAGCCACGAAGTGGCGAGACAGTTGAACCCCAGTCTCCCCTCTATCATCGACTGCACTCACTCCCCTTGGCCCCCATTGCACTTGAAGTGTCAATTCCAACATCCGTTCGGCAGTCTCCTCCCAAGGTTAAAGGTTGTTTTTGAGCCCTGAAACATTCAGCTGTGACTCGCAAGACTACTGGCAGTGAGAGAGCTAGAACGTTGAAAAATTAAAACTCATGACCAACCAAAACTGTCTCAACAAACTTGTGACATGAATAAGAAGCCAGGCCCAAAAAGTCACAGGGCTGACGGCTAAGAAGATCTGACACTTGATAAGCTCGGCCTCTGGACTTCTTAGTTCTGGATAAGGGTTTCCCTTGACCTCGGAGAAGAAAGAAGCATAGTAAACTATGATGCTGCATAGAAGCAGGCTTCGAACGTCGAACACTGGATGAATTTCTGGAAAGAATGCCCTCATTGGACACACCTGTTCATTCATTGCCAATCACCCAAAATACGCGACACTTGAAATCTTGACAGACTGGAAGGTTAAGGGTTGGGTCTACAAACGAAAAGGTCTTCTTAGCGCAGTTTGCACTTACAAAGCTAGAAGCGCATGCCAGTGGGTTCATTCAATAACAATGGGTCAGTCTCTCAAAGCCCCTTCACATCCCTCCAGAACGGCACCGTCACTCTTTTCACAAAACACACTGATCGACTGCCATTGGGATCAAGAACGTAGGGCTTGGAGAGAGTTGTATCCACCATTTGTGGATAGAGCCTCGGTTGTGGAATCCCAGATTGGCTCCGCAGATCGTAGACGTAGACTTTGGCTTGTCAAATGTCTTGGCTTGTTTGACGTGATCAGATTCTGAAGGTGTTACTTTTTGCCCCAATTCCCTAATCTAAGCCGCCTGGGAAAGGAACAAAACTTCATGACAACATGCCCAGCTTTGAGGACCCGGCGAAAAGGCGGTCACATTGTGGCGGGCACCTTCAATGGAAAGGTTTTTCATGAAGGCCTTAGAAGCAAACGAGGAATGACAACTGACAACATGGATGACTAGAAGAGTTCAAGTTCTCAATGTCATGTTCCAAACCGAAATCAAAGAGTCAAAGCAAAATGCGACTGCAGCACGTTCATTGCAGTCTTAGAGGTCCGATACGAATACCATCCGCCAGCCTCACCGCCAATCTTGGGGGTGCTAACACGCAAAACCCGCAAAAGTCTGCTAGGACGCTACTAGGAACTCCTGGCATCGCTACTAGGAGCAAGGACGCTACTAGGAGCTCCTGACCTTACTACTAGGAACAAGAAGCTACTAGGAGGAGGCACTTCGAGGCAAGATTTGCCGTTTGAGTGCTGGGGAACTCTTCAGTGTCACGGCAAGCTGATTACAGGATTGCAAAGACAAACGCCCAAGCTCTACCAATCATAAAGCCTACTTCACTATATGACCGTACTACTAGGAGCAAGGACGCTACTAGGGGCTCCTGGCATCGCTACTAGGAGCAAGGACGCTACTAGGGGCTCCTGGCCGTACTACTAGGAGCAAGAAGCTACTAGGAACATGTTGTCCCGCGGAAGTGACGATCTTTCTGGTGGTTCCCGACCAAGCATGGGCCACAGCAACCACTCTTTTGACCCGCACCTGGTTGCCACTGATGGATGCTACACCAGCACCCACTGCCACCACCTCCGGATAATGCCGGAAACGCTCTGATGCAATTATCAGGGTGCGAAATCTAAAGGAAATCAAACATTCTTTTGGAATAGAATCTATACAGTATACATCAAGCATTGCGCGACAGAGTTTTCTTACATATCCGAGAAGTACGTTTTGCAACGTACTGTGTTGCATTGGTCACGCACATCCAACCCTCTTCAACGTAAGTCACACGATCTGCAGAGGCTTCCACCTTGCTGGGCTCTTTCTGCCCAGCAGATTTCAGTCGCGGATACAAAGCCTTTCCGCTTGCAGGTGACCCAAACTGCAAGTAGAGTTTCAATGAAGGCGGAAAGAGCTTGGGCAACAAGGAATATTGAGTGAGTAGACCTACAAAAGTATGAGATTCAATAGGGGAAGGAGTCATTGAACAGCTCTCCATGATGAATCCTTCGAAACAATCAGTTACATCAGTGCACTCATCTGGAAGCCTTTGTAAGCAAGGCCGGGCCAACGACATTGGTTGCCATCACCTGGCAGCGACAGAACGATGTGCCATCATTATCTTGAAGGGGATATGTTTGCAACTCAAGCCCTTGCTTGCGACCTGGTGCCTTTGTTCCGTGGAAGATTGCCTTCAGTAAGTGGCTGCCATGCAGTTTCAGAAGCAAACAAAGTTGGTCTGGGCAGCTACACCTTGTTGAAGGAGTTCATGTCAAGACGCCTCGCCCACAACTACTGATGCAGTTTCGCTCGCTATGTCAGACTCTCACCAAATGTCAGGCCATGTTTCCAGCGACTTTCCCAGCACAAATTAAACATCCGGCAGTTGATTCATAGGCTCTGGGCTGCTCAAGATAAATGATGGGTGAGTACATGCAACAAACGTGGAAAGCAGGCAAAGACTGCTTTCACAATAGGCCGGTCGCAAGCCCACATGTTGCCCAAGTTCTTCATGTTTTATAGGCGTTGTTCAATATATTCAATTGGTCTACCAATGGCAGCTTCATTTTGGCAACCAACTCAACGTTTCGGGGCGTTAGCTGGCCGTACTTTCCAGTGTAGGCAACGTGTAGGCAGTAGAAATTATCCAACCTTTCCAATACAGTGGCATAGCAGAGTCACACAGATTGAAGTGAGGATGCCAAAAGAATGAGCAAAGTCTGCATCGTAGTCACCCAAATGACAGAACACTACCCAGTCAAGGTGAAGACATCTTGATTTACACTTTCGTTTTGCACAGTCCAGTGGCGTTATGGAGTTTTCACCACGGCCACTGGGATGCATAAGCCCAGCCTGGCAGTGTGGCGGCTTCAAGCAACTTGTTGGGTCCTGACTTCTGAAGCGATTCCACCAAAGCAATGGTAACCCACTCAATACCGATGACCTCCATTCTACTAGCAATGGCCTCCAACCTAGTAGCGATGTCCTCCAACCTACTGGCGATGGCCCCCAACCTACTCGCCATGGCCCCCAGCCTACTGGCCATGGCCTCGAACCTCCTAGTGATGTCCTCCAACCTACAAGCGATGGCCTCCAACCTACTAGCAATGGCCTCCAACCTAATAGCGATGGCCTCAACCCTACTACCAAAATACCAGCGATAGCGTTGGCCTCCAACCTACATAACAGCGATGGCCTCCAACCTACTGGCGATGGCATCGAAACTGCTGGCGATAGGCCTCCAACCTGCTGGCGATGGCCTCCTACTAGCGATGGCCTCCAACCTACTAGCGTTGGCCTCCAAGCTATGTAACTGCGATGGCCTCTAGCCTATATACTCGCGATGGCCTCGAAACTACTATCAATGGCCTCCAACCTACTGGCGATGGCCTCCAACCTGCTAGCGATGGCTTCAACTTATACTTGCAATGGCCTCCATCCTACTAGCATCGGCCTCCAACCTATATAACAGCGATGTCCTCCAACCTACTAGCAATGGCCTCCATCCTACTAGCGTTGGCCTCC